GTATACACTAATGCAGATACTTGCATAAAAAAATCTGCGACTCAGAAGAGTTTTGAGAAGGTGAATGGGGTTTCTACAAAGAGGACAGATCTCTGATCCACTTGGAATTCCATTTTGTCTCACAAAAACAGTAGTGGTAAAAAAGATTAACGGATCAACATACGTTAAATAAAATATGCATTAAAAAAATAACAAGTTATCTACATTTTTTTAGAGAAAACTAAACAGAACAACATTAAATCATATAAATGCAGTAAAGATAAAAAGGATTAAAGTCTGTTTTAAGATTCAATAAAGGATTCATTGTTTTTTTTCACATAATTTATATATAACTTATTCAACTTAATTTAAGCAGCAATAGGTAGTTTTCAAAGTAATACATTAAGATTAATAATTTAGAATCCCTAAAAAAAAAATTGAAATAATTCCCTTGACAAAATAAATTATCTGGTCTCATTTTACTATTAAATAACAAGGTAAAGGCATGCATTTACACAAATGTACTATACATAGGCAGCATATGTAATGTATAAGAGAACAAAAACACATCAGACACACAAAGCAGTTGCAACAAATATCAATGCGTTACAGCTAAGAAAAAAAAACAAAAAACTGTAAGATCTTTCTTTTACAGGTAAAAAATAATCAGTGGAGAACAAAAAAGAAAAACTCAGCTGAATTACATAGAAAAAAGTGTTTGATATTGATTTTATAGAGTTTGAAAGCACTAAAATGTTTTGTGTCAGTGAAAATATGCCGATTAGCTGAAACTATTTCTTCTACAGTACTTAAGCAATAAAGCGGGATTTAAAAAAAATCTTACAAGATGGAAATAATGAAAAAGCACATTCTGAATGTTTATGGTGACCGACAAAGGATGTTATCAGCGGTTATAAAAAAAAAAAAAGAAGCACAGTTTAGATTATAAAGGTGATTAAATATCAAGACCTAAATGACTGAGGAAAAAAAGGCCTGGGTCCTGAACAACTTTTTGTACTAATCACTAGTTACTGTGGGGAAATATCTAGGGTGATTAATTAGAACTGACTACATAATTATGTACAACACCATGGTGCATTATTATATTTTCAGCTCTAGTAAAATAATAAACATATTCTCCTTCAGTGGACATACTTGTCTCCTTGTGTGTTTTTTTCACTCTATGATGTGTTATGACTGCTAAAAAATATGATTTAACTGATCTTGGTTATTTATATAAGATGTTGTATATTATATAGTTATTAAAACCAAAACAAAATATTAAAAGGAAATTTCCTTAGAACTCCAGTACAAGTAATGTCAATACAGGAAATTTTTAGCAACTGTGCTGCATCTCTGGTGACTTCCGTAGGGGTCACCTGAATTTTTGATAGAGACCTATGGCCACTCTCTTTTACCGACCCATGCTATTGTTAATCTCGGGGGGGAAAGGCAGCAAGCATTTCATGGACTTGGGTGGAATATTACCAGGACTTTCTTTCTTATGATCTGCTTTCCGTTTAATTAAATCATCATCAAGCTAAAGACAATGCAACTTTTTCCCATAGATTCTTAAGCTAGATAATAGGCCTAGGAGTTGTTACTTATGATGTGCTGGGCAAATATGAGCACAAAAAAACTCTGTTCATGTGGTTTTTAAGATATGAATTAAAAAAAGGGAATACACAATCGTTAAGCAGAGTTCTACGGATGTAACCATATCTTGCATGTATGATAACCTAGTAATTAGTTTGCAAAATACTGCAGTGCAGACCTTTTGTAACAGCCGTGTGCAGTTTTCATACCCTGATCCATCCATTGTCAAACAAAACAGTCCCCCAGCCAGACAGAAGCAACAGTGTGCTCCCTGCTGGAGAGCGAGGGCCAAGGCAGCCTTAAGCAGAAAACAAACATGCTGAGAAAAAAATCCTGCAGTGATGCTAATTCTGAGCAAATACCTTGCAGAATAAAGTCTAGCGGAAATGTAAGATTAGGGGAAGGTTGCCACACCTGTCACTTTTAATTAAATACTGTGTTGTTGTGTGAAATAAGAGGTCACTGGGGGGGGGGGAAAAAACAAAGTCAACATGCAACAGGAACTAAAGTGATTTAACTGACAAAGAGACGACTGTGCTTTCCTTTCACAACTTTGGACGTATTTTGGGTTGACAATGTCTCAATAAATATTATCTGATTACAAGGTAAATAAAATCCTTTCTAACAGAAGGATTTACTACATCTAGCTAGAAGACATGTTCATCATCTAAGCACGGAAATGTGTTCTCTCTTCAACAGAAAATACCTTTTATTTTATGGTATGGCAAATCTTCATTAAGTGCAGGTAGTTTACTGTCAGTTTCATATAAGGTCAATATATCCTGCAGCTTTAATATTCCTAGGAGAAAGTCTTATAGACCCTTTAACACGTGTGATGCCTTTGGTATATGCTGTAAGTGGTTAGTAAGTTCACATTAACATACTTTGTTAAAGTAATTATTACTCAATAGGCTTTATGATAAAAACTGTAACTTAGTGGAAAATGCTTGTGAAGTCTATAAAATATTATTTTTTAGTTATCTGGCAGATGTTTGACCATTTTTAAGGTTCAGTGAAAGACATTTAGTAGACTTAAGACGGTGATCACTCCAATCCTACTGAGGTATACTGTATAAAAAGCATCCTACCATAAACATTAACTTTCTTTACAGAGAAAATGGTAAGATTTACACAAAAAAGGACAAGACAAGGAAAGATGCATACATGTTCTGGGCAATTTTAAAGAACATAAGCTATAACCCCTGTAATGCCACAGAATGCAGGAGGAAATAAATTTAAAAAAACACAGCTGTAAATGCAGGTGCACAAATATCTACCGTGAACAGACTCAAAACACACTGATATATTTTAAGTTGCCAGGTGCTTATTATGTATATTTAACAACAAACATACTTGCACCATTTTAGATATTTACACGGGTTGTATGCATGAGGCCAGGCTGGCTTCCTGGTGCAATACAAATAAGTCTACGATGCAAACAAGTTTTAGAAAGGAAAGCTATAACAATGAAGACTAATAACCAATAACCACCAGTTTTAGGAACTGTCCAGTGAGTTATATGGACGTTATATTTTTTCAGGCAAAAACAAAACAGCAATCAAAGTCTTAAGAAGGTGGAAGCCACAGTAGGGGTTAAAATAAATGATCGGTCCTTATAAACATACTATTTTAGTCGCCTGTAATAGTTTTAATGTTTAATCACTTAAAAATTAAAAAAACGGGAACATAGCAATGTAAAATAAGACACATCCTGGGTGGGACTTCCATTGTTAACTACTATGTTGGTTCATCATTTAGAACAAATACATTCATGCTGCAAGCAAATGACCTGTATCATATTTCATTGATCACCATCACATTAAAAAGAGTTCAGCTAGTTCACTTGCACGCTGAATCAATATATGTCAACTAGGTATCTTCATCAGCACAACCTCATAAATAGATGACCAGTACTTCAATATAATTATTATGGCATGTAAACTTACTGGCGTGAACACTGTGCAATGCATCTGCAAACCAGCAGATGGCACACTTTCTCTTAGCACGTTTCACTGAATATGTAAAAAAAAGTTCGGCGGTATTGCACAAAAGTTTGCTTTCCTGATCAGGTCACTGAGCTGTAAGTCTGCCGTTGCTTACGGTTTATAACCGTAAATTAAACAATATCTTGCTCAGAAAGAGGTTGAATTAAATTGTGTACCCACACAGTAAGTGCAACAAAAATCCCACTTAAAAAAAGCTTACCAAAATAAAAAAACACATGCAAGCAGGTTTTACAAACACAATATACAAATATACTTCAGGCAAAATAATTTAGTAGCTACTGGTATATTTTATCAGCATTGTCTTCACCTGTCAGGCTTTCCTTTTTACCATTTCTGTGTTATGATAAGGTAACAGCCTACAGTTTGCACTGGCAATGCAGTCCATTGAGTCATCCCTACAGATGACAGGGTAAAGTAACATTCATCATCATTAGCAAACCAGTCATCACAAAATATGTTTTTTCTTTTTTTTTTACTGATTTATATATTTCAAATGTCCAAAAAAACAAAAATCACTTGAATGCTCTTAATACACTTTCCACCAAGAAAAAATGTTAATGTATATGTAGATAAATAGGAAAAAGTATGACTACAGGTATTAGCACCTGTGACAACTTATGCAAAAACAAAAAACTTATACAGTTAATGGCCACTGAAAAGATTCAAGACCACACTAATGCATTTGCATATAAATAATGTATTAACCTCCGATATAATCAATGATAAATATCATGCAGAGAAATTTCTTTGTTAATTTACACCACCATAAAGTTGATTTGAATTATTGCAATGTATTAACTCTTTCATGTTTTTATTTTTCTACACTTCAAGTAAAGTCGAAATACATCGTAAGCAAGCTGTGTAAAGGTTTATAGACCTGTTAACTGGGCACAGCAACAAATGGTTGTTTATATTCTGTCCTTTACCCAGTGATATAATTGGAATCTCAAACATCTAATTTTTTTTAACCTAGTTTTAAGTTACACGACTTAAAGTTGATATGAATGATTGCAATGTATTAACGCTCATGTTTTTATTTTTCTACACTTCACTTAAAGTAGAAATACATTGTAAGCAAGCTGTGTAAGGAGATTCTGCAAAGGTTTATAGACACATTAACTAGGCACAGTAACAAATGGGTGTTTATATTCTGTGCTTTACCCAGTGATATAAATTGGAAACTCAAACTTCTATTTTTTTTTTCAACCCAGTCAATATTTTGAGCTCTAAAGTCTCCAGCTTAAGAAGTGCATACGAGTGATACTGGCTTACTGCTGCATCCTACAGTCCAGAAACAATCTCTTCAGTCTCTGATTATCTTTCAGGTCAGGGCACCCGACTACATTTTTGTGCTTACAACTTCATGGAAGAGTAAATAGTTTAGTCGTAAGAGAAAATAATCAAGGTGGATCTACTTACAGTTAGGTGGTACTGCCTCCATATTTCTGGGCAAGCCTGGAATATAAGAAATATTGATCAGTCAAAAGCATGAAACAAGGTGCTTTACAGCCTGTTGGTTTTGGCATAATCCAGCATCCGCTGGTGCCGGTCACAGGGAAAGAAGAAGCTTAAGTGAAAGGGTCTGGATTTCAGCTTCAAAAAACCTGGCTGCACTGTTTAATTGAATTTTACACTGCTTTAACACACACTGCCAATTTAAGTATGGCATACAATGCAAACAAATAATTGTAATAGAAATATTAAATATAACATTGACATGACAAAAACAAGTGTTTTAAGTGCATTTCACTGCAGTACCATGTATCTAGAGCTGCAGCTAACGATTATTTTCAAAATCGATTAGTTAGCCGATTATTAAGTTCGATTAATCGGTTAAAAAATACATTTTAAAAATGGCTCCAGTGATGGGACTACTAGTTTGTATTGATCACGCGTGCGAAACCTCAAAAAAACTACATTACCCACAATTGGCCATAGGCGATGCATTAAAAGCTTTTACCGCTCATCAGTTTAGAGTTATCAGTGATTGATGGCCCTAAAATTATTGCTCTCACTGCGACGTTCACTTCAATATGTAACATGTGTAGCGCAATTCTCATTTTCGCGCGCTGGCGCATGCAACGCGTATTTACGTTTATATGTGCGTGAACGAAGGGGGGGAACTGAAACATTGGGGGGGTTTGCTTTTTTTATTTGTGACTTTCATTTTTTTTTTACTTTTTTTATTTATATTACACTTATTGTTATTGCTATTACATAGGGGGATACCATCCCCCTATGTAATAGCACAGGTACACTGACAGGTCCTCTTTATGGAGACACTAATATAAAGTATGGTTTTTCAAACTGATAACATTTCAAACTGACAACTGATAACCCACTACCTACACTGTGTATGTACTTACAGTGTGTGATAGCTCTTGATAACAAAAAAAGCTACATCACGTCACGTTGCCCCACCCATGTTACAGTTCCTGAGAATCAGATAGAACTAGTCTGGATGATGCCTCCAGAACATCAAAGTTAACTCATTTAGTTACTGAGAACTGTTTTACCTGCTCACGTTTGTTCTACGTATGCAGAAGTCTATTTTTTCCCCCATATCATCGTATTTAAAGGTTTGAAAATTAGTTAATTCCACCCATGTTTAGCAATTAACCATAATATTGTCTGTGGTTTTAAAGCCCACTTCCTTTTTACTTTGTTTTGCACTCTGGACTTGCAAACATTTTGCAAACTTAAAACTAATTAAAAAAAATACTGAATGAAAAATCTAAATATCTGATTTGTACATCTAAGAGTTCAGGGTGTTTTGATCCCAAAACTGGTATCCTATGAATTAAGTCATCTACCTACATTTAGACCTACTACATTACTTCTATATTTACTGGCAGCTAAAAAAAATTTTTTTACACAATCACAATCCAAATGATAACATTTGCTCACAGAGGCATTGCCAGCACTGGAACTAGGGCTATGAGACCTGTATCTAGCACAATATCCAAGGCCATTTTTATTATACTAAGTTGACTTTGTCAAGCAAGTGGTAAAACTGAAACTGTACCTTTTAATACTACATAAACTTTGTTTATATATATAT